TTCGAATATTCAATTTGGTGAAAAAAATCTTATTCGAATATTCGAATATTCAGTGAATATTCGAATATAGTATTCATTGGATCAGACCTCTACTTCTAGTACCTCATTGAATGAGATCCCTGGGTCTTTGATATTATCACAATACAAATAATAAAATTTATTGTCTTGATTATCTGACCACCACTTACCTTGCAAACTCATATGATTTTCTCTATATAGTGGACAATATAAACCTAAAACCCAATAAGAATTAGTTTGATGCTCGCCTTCTGTATATATGCTATTATTTTTATTCAACTTTGGTGAATTAATAAAATGTGTAGTTAATTTATTAATGACTTGATTATGCATTTCTTTTGACAGCATTTTTTTTAATAGAAAGAGGTTTAGAGTGGGCGATGCATTTATCTCAATATTTGATATATCATTTGAGCTAGATGGTTCACTCACGTGCGTGTGAAGATTCTTCACACCAATTACTTTTTGACATTCAGTTTTTTTAGAGAAAAGCCTTATTATGTTTTGGATTTGAATACTTGTTAAACTAGAAATAGCATTAGCACTATACGTAACTTGTTTGATTTTATCTATTCCTATTTTTTTGAACAATGTATAAATATTTCTAGCTTTTTGAGTTTTCTTATGCAAATACTCTCTCTTGATGTTAGGAAGAAATAGTTTTATTTCATTATAAATTTGTATTCTTGCCATTTGATCATTAATTTCATTTTTTAAGGTAATATCTCTGACCTTTTTTTCGAATTCCTTACTATAATAATACCAACGTAAAATTTCTTTCTGTCCCATTTTTTTAGCCTTGTCGAATAAATGGGCCAAATGTGAAGCAGAGCCTGGATCTCCATCAAGCATATTTTCAAGAATTTGTTTATCAGATATGGAATTCGAAAGGCTTGTCTCATTAAAAAATATAGATAACTCACATATTAAACCTTGTTCAACTTTTTGATTATAAGGAATTTTAATTTCAGATGAAATGGTGCTTTGTGTTTGACTAATAGATTCTTTTGAAATATTCTGATCGATTTTAGATGTAAAACTCTTTTATATCAGTTTTTGATCTCGAGAAGTAGATGTTTCATTATTTTGTAACAGCTTTTTTTCCTGGTTTCTCTCTCTTATTTTATTTCTAATCTGTTCTTTATATACCTGTTCTAGAAATTCAATCTTTTTATCTTCAAAAGTATCATTAGAATTTGTTTTAGAAGATGTAGAAGATCGGTTATTCTTTTCTTGACATATATCAAAAGAACCAGATGCTTGATGCTCCATATCATCAGATATAATATTGAAAATATTTTCTATATTACTCTCTAACAATTTGAAATTAGTATCAATGCAATGGTTTATAATAGGGTCAGATATATTATTTCTATTAGAAAATGGAAAATTATTGCTATTTTTTAATTTATCTACTGCATTGTTTTGATTCTGCTCCAATGTTGCAAATCGCTTTTTATTTCTTTTGCTAACCATTCTAGTTCTATAATTCTGGCATTGAGTTTAGTATTTTTTAATCTCGATTTTTCAGCATTTTGTTCTAATTCCATTATTCTAGCCATAAATCTTGCTTCTTTAGCTAAGAATTCAGCCTTTTCCTTTTTAAGTTCAGTATTTTCAGCTACAAGCTTGGAAATCTGTTCTAATAAATCAGTTTTGGATTAAGTATTTGCCATTTTTTAATATAATATATGTATACATTCAAATAATTATACTGATACAGAAAAAAACATTAGCAGATTAAAAATCATATAAGCGTGAAGATTCTTTACGCCATTGCCAAGAAAAATCTTTGATTATATGCGAGTTATACATCAATATCAATACAATAAAATAAATTCACGAAATACACATGCAAAGTAAATGTGATTATATATGCAAATTAGCCACCAGGGCCAGCTTTATTGATATGATAAGAAAAGTAAAAAAAATTATATACAATAGATTAAACAACGATAAGAAAAAAACTATATACAATGGATTAAACAAATTCATGATAGAAAGGAGAAGGTATAAGGTTCATTATATAACCTATCAAGAACTGTATTGATCAAATATTTGGGCAATTGGTCTACATCTGTCACAATGATAGGATATGTAGGTAGTTGTTCCAATGGATCCAATAGTTCTGATAGTTCTGGTGGTTCTGCTATCTCTAGTACCGCATCTATTGCGCTAGGAGTAAAGCTATCTATAGAGAGACCTACTATTATACCAATAGTCTCTTTTGGTTGCTTAGTTCAAGTGAGCACACCAAGCAACTCATCTACAACTGAGCAACCTGTGAATATATTTAATATTATTAATTGAATTTTATTTTTTTCTCGCAAGCTTGAAAAAAAGATATATAGTTAACTGCCAAATATATATGGCTAAAAATTTGTTGACTAACTATATCTAGCTTCGAGCAAGTATTGCGAGAAGGCAGGCCCAAATATCTGATTTAATATAATAATAATATCTATATTGAGTCTGACCCAATTTTTACATTGAATAATAAATCATATCGTGGCAATTTCACATATAATATTGATGCCACCATCACCTGATCTCCTAAATTAAAATAAAATATGAATACTTGCATTATAATTATCAACTAACCAAAGAAGTTGCACAGGCGGAATAGTCAACGACAGTGCTTTCTATGTTAGAGTGTATCCTATTCATCATAAATTCTCAGTGCCTAAGCATCTCAGAAACATCAGAAACTAGAAAGAAAGAAAGTTTATTGCTAAAACAGTAGCCACAATATGCTTTCAATTTCTTACTAGATATTTACACTGATGTGATAGCATAACTTCGAATACACAACAACTCAACAAATAACTCAATAAGAAACTCACCCTTTATGAATAACTTTAGCACCAATGCTCTTTAGCATTTCAACAAGATCCACTTCGAATATTAATCCTTTTATATAGAGTGATTCTACGATTACTACAGCAAGAGCGACAGACTCCCCTCAATATGAAGAAATTCTTCAACTTCAAAATTCATCTTTATTTTTATTTTAAAAAAAAATCAATCGAAAGTGATAAAAAAAATAAAACAGAATCACTAATAAGCAATAAATAACAATGTTTTCACTATACTGCCCTTTATAAATGGGTTTTATCTGTCTCTAAATAGTAGTGTAAAGGGAAGAGCAACAAAAAAAAAAACCTCATATGCACTTTATGCCAATCTTTTTACTCAACATTATATTATGTTTGTCATAGGGTACCCCTAGACATGCAGAATGTGCATTGGAGATCTCAACATCTTTGGCATTACGGCATAGAGAAAGATCACTATGTATTTTATTTTGTTTGAGCACCTAGTAGAGCCTTTAGTTTATATTAAAGAAACTATAAAACCAGAAATATATATGTCTTTGTTAAAATAAATAAATTTTTGTACCAGCTTTAGAGTAGATCTAAAGCTTGGGTATTATTTTTTCTATGAACATTTGTAAATAAAATTCAAAAAAATTCATATAAAGATTTGGTTGCATAGATAACGTATGTGTTATGAGATTGTTAACCAAATTTGGGTTAGAGTACTATTTCGAGAAAAACTTAAAAATGGTACTTTTTACTCATTCTACATGATTTATGTATAATGATAAGCCTTGTAAGGTATTATACTATAGTACAGATAAATTTATACATATACGAAATTTATTCTAACACGTTATCGCATTCACACCACTTATATATTCCATCCACTACTTTTTTACAAGTTTTGCAATATAGATATGAATGATGATCGCATTTGTCACAAACCTTATATCCGTGCTTCCATCCTCTAAAGATATGCCACTTTTCAATGTAATTTTTCCTGTTTTTATATGCATTCTGATTTTTCATTTTGATATATTAACATAACTAAAATTTCTTTGCAAAAAATCAATGTGTTGTTATATTAGCGGTATATTAGTATTTTTAAATTTTTATTAAGTAACTCTGTGTAACTTATAATTGTAGTACAAATCTGATTCCACCAATGGAATCCTTGA